ATTGATATGACATTTTAAAATATGCATTGATATGACATTTTAAAATGAGCATTTAACCAATACCAGATGATGAGCATATGTAACTTACAAATGAGCATTTAACCAATACCAGATGAGCATTCATAACTTACAAAATGAGCATCAAAAAAATTCAAAAGTTCAATTGAAATCTCTAATGTGTTCAAATATTCATTTGTGTATATTCATTTATCAATGCACATTTAAATTAAATAATATATTCATAATTATTTAGAAGATTGGAGCTTTTAATAGAAGAGTGAGAAAAGTATATGTTTTTATTGAATTGCTATTCAATATGAATTTTTGAAAGAATTGCATGAAAAACATATTGTAGAAAAATTACATAAAAATAAAAAAGTAAGAGTTCAAAATTAGAGAACCGGAAGACAAAAGTATATACAAAAAGAAAAAAGAAACAAATGAAGCAGAAAAAAGAAAAAGAAATGTTAAAGTTAGAAAAAATAAAGTTCAAAATTAAAGGAAAAGAAAAAAGAAAAACCAAAGCATGAAAAAGAAAATAAAAACTTAAACATAGAAAACTTAAAGTTCAAAATTAAAAGATAAGAAAACAGAAAAACGAGAACTATAAAAAGGTAAAAAGGAAAAACGAGAAGGAGCAACCAAATGATAAGTGGATAAGGAAAATGTGTAAATTACTCGTAACTATTAAGAAAAGGAAAAAGAACAAACGGAAGAGCAGCGACAAGGAAGAGTAGCAAATGCCATGCTCCGTAATTAACCACCTCAAGTTTATAAGTAATTACAAAAATACCTGGATGTACCAAATCACACGGTACATCCGGGTGTATGATATATTTTATACGGAGTAATTTTTATGTCTCCGACTTGTCCCATAAACGCCCGTCTAGCCACTTAAGTGTTGGGATGGCGCACCATTAGCACGGGCTGCACGGCTTTTAGAAGATCGACTAAATTATGGACAAAGTCAACTAACAAAAGTAATTATGTTTTATTCTTTGATCACATATGAATTATTTCTTACAAAGTATAAAACTTTCTAGGAGTGAGTTAGTTCTAATTTATGAAGAAAACAACGATGATTTTAGGTTACATTTTGTTAGTGTTTTATTAAGAATGTTTTTACTTGGACTGCTTTGAGTCCCAGATCAGACCAGACCAGATCGGATCAGACTTGTACAATTATAAAATACACATAGATGATACCAGCGGCGGACCTAGTGGGGGCAAGTAGGGGCTGTTGTCCCCCCAAAGTAAAAAAAAATATTTTTTAGGTATATATTTTTTTTTTGCTCGATGAAGGCTTAATTCATAAAAATAGCATTCAGCAAGGGTACTAAGCTAGAAAAAGACCACAAATAACCATCCGCCCGTGGCCGAGACTGAGAGCTAACTACCTGTAAAAAAGCAGTATAACTCGCTAGACCAAAATTGGCAACTTAAAGCCAATGACGGTTACCGCAGACTTTCCCTCCCCCAACTTTAATGCAAGAGTCTTACAAGGAATAAAAGCACAAAAGCAAAACATAACAAAGCAACCTAATTTAAAGTAACCAAAGTAGACAATAATAAAAACACCATTATAAGTTTTCTTCCCCCTGGTAAATGTCCCCCGGCAAAAAAAAAGTTTTTTTCCCCACTGCCGCCCAACAGAGATAAGGCGGGCGGGTCTAGGAGACCTGACCCGCCCCCTCCCCTTTTTTTGGCCCATCCAGAGTCATCCCTTCGCCATCTGCACCCTCTTGAGCTTGGTCATCCCATATCCTTCTGCGCTTTGGATCTCCATGAGCCACTACCCTGTCTTCACTTTCCTGCAGTGCCGGCTTACCCGCCTTGGGCTCAGCTGAATTCTCTACCCCAAGATCAGCCTTCCTCGGTCCTCCAAATCCATCTGAGCTAGAAGCTCCATTAGATAACCATTTATTAAATCCTGTCGGGCTAGTCTTCGCCCTTCCTCCAGCTCTAAGTTCCACTCCATAAATTTTTTCAGCTACAAAGTCCTCTTCGTACTTTAATGGACAGAACTTGTCTGAATGCCCAATAATACCACAAATAAAGCAAAAACTGGGTAGTTTTTCATATTTAAAATCTACCCAATGTTTCACCCCATCCTACGTTAAATTGGTACCTTTTTTCAAAGGTTGACGGACATCCAAACACACTCGAATTCGCAGATAAGAACTTTGCTTTCCATCAAAATGGCACATCTCAAATTTAATAAAAGAGCCTAAAAAATTACCAATTTTTCTGGCAGATCTTAAATTCTGATACTTAATAGGAGCATTATGAACCTGTACCCAAAAACTAGCCTCAAACAAATTCATGGATTCCGGTATATCATCTGGTTGCACAGCCTTTAGCAAAACTAAATCTCGCTAAAAAAGCCATGGGCCATCCTCTATCACATGGTTCATATCCAAAACATGATTAAAATTTAGCAAATACCTTCTTTCCCTGGCTTCCAGATCGAGGTCATCTGCTCTTGAAATCCAGGTAATTTGACCTTGCGGTCAATGATGACAACCCCAACCACCGGAAAAGTCGCCGGTTCCTTCTCCCCCTCGCTACCATCCTCTGGCTCCTCGTCAAAATTGAGCTCTGAATCCTGTTCCTTCATCGACATCTTCCTATATGAATCCACTATATCCTCCATGCAAAAAACTTCTTCGGCCGAGATGTCCGCTCCAAGTCTCATTGAAGCCGTCTGCACTACGCCTGATACCTCCATCCTGTACTTCTTCCGATCATCCTCCTCAGGGGCGGCCCTGGGGGGGGGGGCAGGTGGGGCGGGTGCCCTAGGCCCAAAAAAATGAAAATTTTTTAGGCCCAGAATTATTTCTTTATAGTATATTTGAGTAGGCTGAGTTTTAACCCAAAATTAATAATTTTGTACAAGTTCAGGAAGCCCAAGAATACAAAAGGCCCAAAATTGAAAAAAGGAAGAACTAACGTGCAGTCCAATTAGTTAAATTTATAAATTTAACTAATTGATTAGCTATATTAAGTATTGAGCATAATAATGTCTTAGAAAAGCTTGATTATGACGCTATAGTTGATGACACCGGCCTTAGCAAGTGTATTGTATCGGGGCGTTATTTATCATTAAATAATTTTTTATTCGGTTATTTTGAAAACATTATTCGACTATGTTTAATTTAACGAATTCAAGTATTTTCTTTATTCTAAAGGTATTTAAATATTATTATTTTGCATTTTTATTTAGGTAGAAAAGTGTTTTACAATTTTTTTTTAAAATTAGGCCCATTTTTTTATTGTTCGCCCCTAGGCCTTTGAATATCCAGGGCCGCCCCTGATCCTCCTTGCTAAACTGATACCCGATCCCCGGCCAAGAGTCGAGATCGGAGATGCTAACCCTAGCGGCCGAGCCCTAGGAGTACCGAAGCTTTAGAGAGAAGAAACTCTCGCCTCCGGACTTTGAAAGTTGTATATAAAAAGTTATAAATAGATATGTCCCCCAAAATTAAAAAATATGCAGTACTCCTATCAATTATTAAAATAAGGAACCTGCACACTATCCGTATTTTAGCCCATACTCTTAGCCCATATTTATAATTTATCCGTATAGACTTGTGTTGACTAATAGATGGGTTCCTAACTCCACTAATTAAAATATAAAATTGATTTTTACATTTCACAAATTAACCTTGTGACTTCCGCAAAGAGCAGTGGCTCCTCCTCTCCTCCAAAGCTGTTGAACAAGCTACAACTTACATGCTTATATTTTGTGTTTTTGAAGTGTGCTTACATTGTTAAGGTACACAAATACACAATGTTGACCTTATACGAAGTATCTACTATTATTTCTAGTATTACATTGGTGTATGATTTTGTTCAAATTTGGTGATTATTTTTATGTTTATATAAAGTTAAGCTTGATTTTGCGGTAATAAAATTTTGCTTCAAAACTTCTTTTGTCCCCGCACATAAAAAATCACACGTCCGCCACTGGATGATATATATCCGACCAAACCAGAAAACATGCTAATGTGTTTTCCTTTAATTTCTTCTTGTGCTATAAATATCTGTTTTCCTATTCTCACTGCACCGCCCAAGAAGAGTTTTCAAACCACCGGCTTATCAACACCCTAAATTGATTTGCATTCTAATACAATATACCCTCTGTATTCCATAACATTAAAAACTTTCCTTATTTAGCCATTAAATATTACCATCTCCATAACATTTATATCTTCCCATTTAAAATTAGGTGAGATTAAAAATAGTGAAAGGAGATATAAATCATTGAGGGTATGATTGAAAGATAGTGAAATAATGTGTTGGAATAAATGATAAATCCAAAAAAAATAGTTGTATTAGAGGTTTACAAATGAGAAGATATGAATGTTACGGTCGAAAAAGGAAAGTGAGAAGCTAAAATATGAATGTTACGGAGAGAGTTTCATTTGAAGTTATAAATATGTTAATAAAATTATTTTTCTTTGCACTATATAAAGATGTTTTCTTTTGGACTCTTTCCAGTCACAAACCAGACAAGACAAGCCCAAATCAGATCAAATCAGATTTGAACAGTTATAAAATACACAGAGACCAAACATTTATCAGATCAGGACAAACCGGACTTACACTGACTAGACAAAAAAAATTTAGTCTAAAAGAAAACATACTAAATTTCATCAACACAAATTTTATTTTATTAATCATTTAATCCGTATGGAAGTGAAATGTGGTCAAATTTTGCAAAATGAAGAGAGTATATTGTTAGCGTTTCTTAAGCTAGTAATCAGCAGAGCCAAACACATCACAATAAAATGACCTATGGCGGTTAGATGTCCAAAAGGGTTTAATCATCCACATCCCTTGCAATTTTATCAAACTCATCTGAAATAAAACAAAAGCACGATTCATCTAGGGACTTCATTAACCTTTACCGATACGAGCTACTATGCATCTTCTTTGTTTGTAGAATGTCATCGCCGATTGCAATAATGGATTAATCATTAATAAATAGTTAAAATCATCACGCATTATAATCAATCGAAAATAAATCTCATTAAGAAGAATGAAAAAACAAAGATCGTTAGCATTAATTTATTAGAGTATCAGAATCAAAACTAAAAACCAAAACGTTTTCGATAACCAAAAATTCTAAACAATTTTCTTGATTCCATATCTAAAAAAGGATCACCAAGAAGACATATAATAATAATAATAATAATATAATTACCCAATCTTTGAATCCAAGGAGGAGTCTAAGTGGGACCCCGTCGTCATCATGACCTTAAACTCCTCGAAATCGATCATCCCGTCGCCGTCGCGGTCGACGCCGCTGATCATCTTCCGGCACTCGGCGAGCGAGCATTCCTCGCCGATGCTCCGCATCACGTTCTGGAGCTCGTCGGCGGAGATGGAGCCGCTCTTGTCGGCGTCGAACACGGAGAAGGCGTCCTTGAGATTCTCCATCACCTCGTCGGAGCCGACGTCCTTCGTGTTCAGCTCGATGAACTCCCGGAGATCGATGAAGCCGTCGCCGTCGGCGTCCACCTCCCGGATCATGTCGCCGAGCTCCTCCTCCGTCGCCACGTGGCCCAGGCTGCCCATGATCGACCCGAGCTCCGCCGCCGAGATCTTTCCGTCGCCGTTCACGTCGAACTTCTTGAAAACCTGCTCCAGCTCCTCCTCCACGCGGGCCCGGTTGTTGAACGACGGCGTTCTCGAGCCTATGGACCCCACCGCCCCGTCGTCGTTCGCCAGCCGCTTCTTCTTGCAGAAGAGAGATTTCAATCCCATTATGTCGATGGGGATATTATTATCTTCTCTCTTTGGGATTTTAATTAGCTAATTAATTTGGATGGTTTCAGATTAGGAACTCGAGATTGCAGGAAGAATCTGGGAACCTTTTAGAGAATGCAATTTTTTATGTTTGGAAAGAAAATAAAGGATGCATGAGAATCTGTTACAACAATTCCTATTGTGTGATTTTACTTAAATTTATTACTCCTTATTAAAATATATCTGCACAAATAAATCGGATTCCACTCCGCATGCGGCTGCTCAAATCATATTAGGACTCATGTAATCGGGACATCTTGTTTTGTGAAATTATACTATCATGATCTCGTCTTTCAAAATCTAGTCTGGTTAAGATTGGTCTGATTTTGTCTGTTAGCTGTCTGATTTATGTACATTTTACAAATGTCGAAGTCTAATACAGAGTATAATGTAGTTAAGTCCGATTTTGTCTGTTAAGTTTGGTCTGTTTTGAGACATAAATAAATTCAAATAAAAATGTCCTTATTAATGACCAACTTTCGGATACAACGGAAGTACACCATATATCAATAAATAGGACTAAAACAGTTTGAAAATTTCAAAATAAGTCTGTCATGTTTTTTATTCCCAAAATATGAGTAATTATTGTCAAGTTTAGAAAATATTGCCATGTTTGAATTCTAGTACTGCCAAAACAAGACAGTAATTAGTCCTATTTTGGGAATAAAAACATGGCAGATTGGAAGTTCCATTTTGGAATTTTCAAACCTTTTTAGTCCTATTTCGGGTAATATTCTCTTTAACAAAACAAGACGTGAAATGCATGCAAGCTTGTTTTTAATTTTTGATACGACAAATTAAACCGTGGCTAGGTGGAGCAAATCAGAGTTGGGCCCAACAAACTTTGGACTATGATTTTGATTAGTATAATATTATTTTTTGACTGATTAAATTAGTATAATGCTACCCGTCGACATGTGATCTCTTGAAGCCTACAAAACATCCCATTAATCAAATATTAGACTAGGGTTTTCTCATTTGCTAACTCATACTCCCCGTCTCATTCTAAGGTACGTTTCCACTTTTCTTTTTTTGGACGTCTCATATAAAGGTTTCTGTTGTTATTTTAGGAAATAATTAATGTTCTTAAATGAAAATTTAATAATTAAATATTAAAAATAATACGTCTATAACATCACATTTATTACCAATTACCCCATTATATTGTATGGAGTATATGTAGTGTCAATGAAAAATTGTTTCTCAAAATATAGTCAATCAAATAACTTATTTAATTATTGAAGTAGGGTCCAAAAGATTTCCCACGTGAACTATAGCCGATAGATCAATACGAGGGATTTGGACAAATTAAAGGTGCAAAATAGTTTGTTGAAGTAATGGATAAACTCCATTACTACCCACAAAGTTGATGAAGTGAATGAAACATCGATCTCTAAAGTGACGAGAGCTGAGAGTAGAAATAATGCAGACACAATGGATCATTTGTTCTATCAATGTAGTATTTCTTTTCCTATTTGGGTTTATTTTTTGGGGTTATTTGGCATTCCAATTCCCCATCAAAATAGCTCAATTAGACAAGTTTTTATTCAGTGGTGGCTTAAAGCTGGAAGCAAAAAATTGGAGGATATGTTTAAACATAACCTTCCAGTGATTATTTGTTGGAATATATGGAAGGTCTACTCGAATATAATATGGGGCTCTGGTGATTGCCAGGCTACAACATCCTGTATTACAATGCAGATTAAACACTATACACAACAATGGACCTACATTTTGCAGAACTTGGGCACATCTACACTGGGAGATCAGAGGTTCTATTTGAATAATGTTTGATTCCTAGATGTATAAAGCTTACAGGAAGAAAATTCAGACTGATTAAATGGACCAAACCAAAATATGGACTAAAGCTAAACGTTGATGCATCGTTTATACTTGGTCAAGCTCTGGGAGGTGCACTCATGAGAGATAACAATGGCCGGATGGTTTTTGGTGTTAGCTTCCCTCTGGTGGCTACCTCGCCGCTGGATGCTGAACTTTGAACAGTTTTGGTTGTGACGAGATGGGCTTTAGAAGCTGGTTTTGAGAACTTTCAAGTGCAATCTGACTCTTTTGAAGCTATCTGGTACTTGTTGGGTAAGGACAATCGTAGATGGAGGAAGGAAATTCAGGAAACCCTGCTTGCTTCGAAGTACCACTTGGCTAAGGAAGGAATGGCCCGGTTTAATATATTTACCAGACCCAATGAATTACCCGATGAGAGCCGACAGTGAAAATAACTAGTAAACCGATCATCCTCAATTGTATGTATGACTTTGGCCCATTGTTATTGGTAAAAGAGGAGCTCAATATCAGGTAACATCATCCTAGAGTTGGGTGTCAAAAGTGGCAAGAAGTGACTGCTTTTGTATAGCTTTATACTCTTCCTTGGTTGGTTTAGCTCTAGCAGAAATAGAGCAAAACTCATTTTTATTCAATCATTCAGATGGTCCTTCAGAGATTTCATTTTCTAGCAAAGAACAAACTACCATTACCGTAAAATATTGTTTCAGTACTACTCCACTCTGTCAATTAAAGAAGGGTGTTGCATCCACATAGTTGAACAATTTGAAAGTTTTGGTTTATTAGGGCCCTATCCTATTTTGCAACTTGTTCCATTTATTCAAAGAATAGAATCTCCCTTTTAATGGCGCATCAAGTAGGCACCAAGGAACATAAAAGTTTTACAAATCATTCATAATATACTTAAACCCCTTATAATCAATGTGGCCTTTGAAGATGAATGATTCAAAACGGACTTTGAAAATTAAAGAGGAGAGTCAGAGCACCAAAAATTACAATGAACGACTCTTTGGACCACTGACCAACTCAGAATCTCGAATAAGGATGATGTTATGTCCATCAATTGAGTACATTTTGTCTTAGAGAGCTCCAAATGAAACCATTCAAGTGTGAAATGAAATACAAATCTCCTTATATATAAATTGCCTAAAAATGTTAAGTTGGGCAAATTTCCGTTTGTACAGTCCAAAGTAAGTCTTCGTATTGTGCAGGCTTAACTAACGGAAGTCTTCCATTTTCTTCCCTCTCTTTCGGCCAACCCGACTTCAAATTCCCCGAAAAAAAATCCCAGCGGATGAAAGGATACAAGTTGGGCTGATTGGCGCAGAAAAGAAAATCTCTGACAAGGTTCAAGCTCCACCACTTGATATCTGTACGCCCGCTCCTTTTTACTGTTTCGAACTTTTGCAGCTGGCTCCTACAAGATGGTTGAGATCATTTCATTTTTCGTTCGTTGTTCCATTCTCTGCGCTTGCTGTTTGTTTTCCTTCTGCTTGGCCAACTCTTAATCTGTTCTTCTGAAGCTGTGAGTATATATGCTGATTATTTTTTGTTTACTCTTTTTCTGTGTTTTCCATCTTTCTTTGTGTTGCGGTTTACCCCTGTTCGTTGGATGGTTTTCTGTGATTGGGGTGGTTGCAGTACAATTTGTTGTCTTTGATCCCTTTTTCTGTGTGAGAGGCCCTGGGTTGTAAATCTGATTGTATTTTTGTGGTGAAATCGGATTTGTGGTTGGGTGACTTGGGCTTTGTTCCCTGGGTTCTGATGTTAGGGTGTTGGGAAGCCTGTGTTGGCTATTTTTGTTATACCCGTTTGACTGCTGTTGGGATGTTGATATGTGGTGTTTCAGTTGAGCCCCCTCTTAGATTCTATGGAGTGTTTTGTGTTGTGTGTGTTTCTTTAGTTGGAGCCAGTGTCTTTGTGTTTCCATTGGGGTGTGCTCAGGGTGGTTCAACTCTGGTTTGTGTTGGTTAATTGAGGTGGTAGCACTGCGGTTTTCTCCTCCTAGAATGTGGTGTGTTATCAGTGCTGTGTGTTGCTTGATATTTTCAATTGGTGGTTTGGAAGTTTGATTGCTGGTTTTGACTCTAGGTGAATGGTTGTGTTTTTCTTTGTCTTGTATTAGGTACTCCTGCTGCAGTCCCTTGATTTGCTGAAATGGTAAGCCTTTGATGTTCCTGTACATAATTTCTAAATGACTGTGTGTTTCAGATTTGCTGTGTTAGTGTTTGTGTGTGACTTGTTGAGTTGTCCTTTAGTTTGTTTTAGAATTAGGCCTGCAATGTTAGTCTTTGAGTGTAGAAATGATCTCTTGTTTTATTGTTACCAATGGTTGAATAGTGTGTGTCATGCACATTTTATTAGCGCAGTAGGGTTATGGTACGGCCCGGTGGTTTGGGATGCCAGATGCTTGCAGAGGAAAAACGTGAACGACATCTGAAACGTCGACGCCTGACATACAGTCTGCGGGCTGCACGCAGTCGTCGACGCCATTGGGGTGTGCTCAGGGTGGTTCAACTCATGTTTGTGTTGGTTAATTGAGGTGGTAGCCCTGTGGTTTTCTCCTCCTAGAATGTGGTGTGTTATCAGTGTTGTGTGTTGCTTGATATTTTCAACTGGTGGTTTGGAAGTTTGATTGCTGGTTTTGACTCTAGGTGAATGGTTGTGTTTTTCTTTGTCTTGTATTAGGTACTCCTGCTGCAGTCCCTTGATTTGCTGAAATGGTAAGCCTTTGATGTTCCTGTACATAATTTCTAAATGACTGTGTGTTTCAGATTTGCTGTGTTAGTGTTTGTGTGTGACTTGTTGAGTTGTCCTTTAGTTTGTTTTAGAATTAGGCCTGCAATGTTAGTCTTTGAGTGTAGAAATGATCTCTTGTTTTATTGTTACCAATGGTTGAATAGTGTGTGTCATGCACATTTTATTAGCGCAGTAGGGTTATGGTACGGCCCGGTGGTTTGGGATGCCAGATGCTTGCAGAGGAAAAACGTGAACGACATCTGAAACGTTGACGCCAGACATACAGTCTGCGGGCTGCACGCAGTCGTCGTGGTTCTGCGTACGCTGTTATCCCTGGTGGTTGGGTTTGCGCCAGCACAAACCCAATCTATATATATATATATATATATATATATATATATATATATATATATATATATATACATAGTGTATATATATACTATGTAATATCCAATCTCCCAATCTATTATCTAACGTTTGTTCAACTTGATAAACATTTTGTTAACAAGTTTTATACAATCACATTGAAACGCTTCTCTATACTTAAAAGCACAAAAACCTCACACATTTTCCTCGTTTTGCTAGAAAGTAATCTTATCAATGATCGGACCAAATATGAGGATGATAGAATGCACACGAAGAATCCTGACGAGAAAAGGTCAACCAAATCAATCCCAAAGAACAAACGAAGTCAAGAAAAATGCACAA